ATTTAAATATAGTTCTATATTATAAAAATTGATTAAAAAAAAAAGTATAAAATGTTATGTAGATCATAATTTATATGAGTTGTCAGTTATATCTGTTCCATACTGTACATAGACTTGATTTTGTAATATAGCAGTAGACCAAACAATTTGGATCCTTATTTATATTGAATTGAATTAATCTTAAATAGTCACAACCAGTTTTACTTTTTTTGGATATTACTTTTTTGAATTAAAAATAAAAAATATAAATTATAAAATAAAAGTCAAATAGAACATATAAATAATAATAATTATAATTATTAGATAATATCCAATGAATAATATAATAACTTTAAAATGACTAAGATAAAATTTAAAATTATCGTTCAACGGTGACTTATTGAATTATAAATACATTTATAGCTGTGTTTTCGTCATAATAAATCTTATATATATATATGTTCTGTAAATTTACAGCTCCATTATTAAATACAAAGAAATATTGTATCATATTGTAATCTATTTTATTTTTATCAAATTTCTATTTGAAATATCAATAACCAAAGCACTTTTGACAGTTTGGTCGTTTATTTTAGATAATAATAAATATGTAATATTATCCAAAAGATCATTATTAACAAACCTAGTGAATAAACGCTTTAAAAGTTTAATAGTTCATATAGTAACCAAAATATGTATAGACCCATGTTAATGAATAAATCAATTCTCTAAAAAACTGATTTTAATTTAGTTATTAATTCATTTTACCAGTCGCTCTTTCCACATGATATACTCTAAAGTCTCTTTTGGATACCCTTCATACTTTCAAAATACTCTTTCCACTTTTTTTCACGTCATCACCTTTTATTAACACCCTTTTATAATCATATTTATATACCTTTCATTGTAATATTTTTAGATATTTTTTCCTCTTGCGTGTTTCTCTATGCAAGTTTATAGACTTCTTTTTCACCTTCCCTTATTTTTAACCTATCATAGAACTCATTATACCTTTTAAACTTCGCCTTCCTTACCGCAGACTTGGCTTCTATGTACAAGTGTTAATACTCTATCTAATCTTTTCTCATTTGCTATTTTGCTATACTTGACACTGCTTTTACTAACTCTCTATGATTTTCGCCTATGAACGTCACCATCCCACTACCCGGTTTCCTGGCATTCTACTCTTACTCTTACCAACAATCTCCAACTAGTAAATTTATTCCACATATCATTTATGTCTCCCTCGACATTCCATAGTGACCGTCTTTCAAAACTATTTTTATTTTCCCTTTTCAATTTCTACCACCGAATCTTTGATGTTCATCCTATATTTTTTCTGTTTTTGTAAACTCTTTTCCCACTACTCCACAATAACTACTCAAAATAACAATATCCACTACTTCTTTACTATAAGTCTACGTTGTATAGTTACACTCTCGCCTGAAATAAATTAACAATATTTTACTCGCTTTGCACTCTCTCTCCCAATAAGATGATCACTATGTGATCTATTACTCCCATTATTATAAGTTATAGAATGATCTTTTCTTTTTCTAAAATAAATATTAACCACAACAAGGTCATACGGTCATACGATACTGTGAAACCCAGGATTCTTTATCCAGCTTCATTTATCTCACTAAAACCATGCCCTCCTTGTACTCTTTCATATCTTCTTCTCTCATTACCTACATGTCCATTCAAATCTCCACCAGTTACCACATACTCATCACCAGATATTCCTTGTATCATATAATCCATCTCTCTCCAAAATACTTTCTTGTCTATTTCACATCCTACTTATAGTGTATAGTCACTTACCACATTCAACACTTTTTCCTAGAAAATCAATTTTACGACAACAATTTTGTCACTTTTCCTAACTACTTCTACTACTTTACTTTTCATTTCCTCATCCAATATTTTCCCTACGCCATTCTTGGTATTGGTCTTACCTGAATATATTATTTAATAATCCTCACTTATTTTCCTTATTTTCTCTCCATTTCACTTAATTTCCTGTACACAACAAATATTAACTTTTCTCCTCTTCAATACTACTATTTCTATCAGCTAATGTTCTTACAACCCCCTAAATTTTAGAAATTTTGAAAAATGTCACAAAATTACATTACCGTTTAATAATTTTCTGAAATTTATAACTAATATAAGTTATTTATTTAAACATTAATTCTTATGACATTTTGTTAGAATATACTAACTACAATAATTTTTCTATTGGTGTACTTTTTATAAAAATTAATGATAAACCTACGTACATAAAGAGTATACACATGTATAAAAATTTTTTTTTCAACTCGATTTTTGAAAACGTAAAAGGTTTTACAACTTCTAAACTATATCAAATTAAAACTTTTCAAATGTGCTACAATATAAAAAAAAAATCAGTTTTATTCTTCTATGATCAATAGCCATTAAAGTAAAAAAAAAATCACAGCTTAAAAAAAACTATCATCTGGACAATTTTTTTAAGCTTTTAATTTACAATATTATAGTTAAAAATTTCTTCAAATTAATCTGGTAAAAAAATTTAACAGGTCCACATAGAAATATTTTATTATAATTATGCTGCATCCAAACTGTTTTTTTATTTTGGCTAATAAATAATTTTCTCAGAAACTGAATGTTATAGTTTCAGTTTGTATTAGCATTCTAATTATGTTTATTGTTTATTAACTACAGAAAAATATCGATTATGTTATTTTTACGACTGCTTATTGACCTTATCTAAATTTATTGGTTAACTCTCCAAAATAATAAAAATCAATCGCTTTTAAAAAGTTAATACATAAATATTATTACCACGTCTAACTGTTAGAAAGCGTTAAAAATTCATAATTTTTCTAAAAAGAAAATATTTTTTTTAAGATTGTGGGCAGTAATGAGTTATCGTTAAATCATATTGGCGACTGAAAAATGTTTGTCGATTATAATTTTCAAAATGTACACAAATTAAATTTGTAAGAAAAATTAACTACTGCCTGAAGCGCAGATTTGCTTCGAGAGACGTGGATTTTTCTAGCTATGGCGATTCGTTATGCGATCTATGGCATAATGCCAACTTGTTTGAACACAAGTAAATCTACCGGTAGATAATTGTTAGTGCCAAACGTTAAACGATTGACATGCAAGTATTTAAGTATTATTTCTTGCTACGATTATAAATAATACAGAAGGGCATTGCATCCAGGACTAATAGCTAGAAAAAATTTGCGGACTTTAAATTTCTTATTAAATACTTATTTTACTCATACTTTTTACATGGTAAATTATTGGACAGTTATTTTTGACCTTATCTCAACTAATTTTTATAGCCAACACTATGCTACCGTTTTTCTAGTAAGCTATTTGTTTAGGGTATAGTTTCCATGGATAATGTTAGATGAAATTAAGTTAAAGGGAAAAACAAGGTTTACTTGATAATTTGAGTATTATCAAATTTATTGACATAATGAATATTAGTAATGATAGATTAGAGTATTTGAAAAAAAAATAAAATTTATGTTATTTAATGAGGTAAAATATTTATATGTAACAAAGTAAGATTTTAGAGGATGAAAAATGAATAATTAATGGTATGAAAAAAATTATTTAGACTTAGATTTATCAAAAGTGCTATTACTTAGAATATTATTAGGTATAATACTTAGAAAATTATTTCAAAATATAATGAAAAATCGAATACAATATGTGTAAAAAAAATTCATTAAGTATTTAATCCACAGATTTAATATGCTAATAGTTTATTATTATTATATCCTTATTCACTTGATTGGCGAGGTCCTAAGAAAAACTATTTTTCTTTTACGATGTACTGCTAAAGGCTACTTAACTTTCAATTTCATATATTATAAAGATGTGACTACGTATACTGTCATACCAAAAAATGATATTAGTTAGAAATCAATCTTTCAGAATGGATAAGGAAGCATTTGTTCCTAAACTTGACATTGATCAATGTTCATACATTCGGTCATTAAGCAAAACTACGGTTAATGGGGTTAAACAAAGTAATTTTTGGGAAAATTGTTATACATAATAATTAAATATCGCATGATTGTTACTATAAGCTTCGAAAATATTCAAATGTATAATGCGTTGTGTACGTCGAATAGGTCCCTTGTTAAATCAGTACAATCTGCTGAATCATAAAATTAACATTTCTCAATATAATAATAATAATAGATCATCATTACTCAAATAACAGATGATAAATTTGAGCCTGTACTCATGAGTAGAAACAATAATTTAGAAAATGAACTGTGGAACTATAATGTTAATTAATTTTAAACTTAATTGAATAATCAATATAGACAGGCGATCATAATGAAAAAATAGTTTCATAACAAAACAAAATTTATTAATTAGTAATTCTCCGACATAAGTGTATTTTCATATAAGTTTAGACAATTTTTAAAAGAATAATCCACTTTTGGTTTAAAAGTGAGAATTATGCAAAAAAATTCAGAGAATCAACTAATAACTAAGATATTAATTTAGCACGTTTATATTTATTATTCATATGGTTACTTATAATGCAGTTCAGCAAAAGAACTCCTATTGGTGAATGTCCTTCTAATTTGGATATTATAGTATCAAATAACTTTCTTTAATATTAATACTTAAAAAATAAATGACTAAAAGTTCTCGTCATATATCGTTAGAAGACAGATATTTCATATTGAAAATTTAAGACATACTTTTCTTTTAATAAGGTTTTAAAACAGGAACAAAATATTCTATGTACCATGTATTTTGTTTGAGTATTGAATGATCGACGACCTAGATATTCCCGGCATCTCAGTAGCCCAATTTTCTACTGAACTGAATACTTGAGAAAATATTTAGATAATTTATAAAGAAATAATTAAGTTTGATGTATGATATGATACATAGTATCATATGTCTTTTTTATACAGGCTTTACTCGTTAAACATAAGGATAAAGGATAATCTTTATAGTAATCAAAAAATTATCTTATTGATAATAGAATTAAATAACAACGAAATTGATTTAATGAAAGTAATTATTCTTGTAGTATAAAAAAATGGTATAATAAATTAAGTGTTCATAGTAATTGTAAAATGTTTTGAGAATATTTGTAAAATTAGTTATAATTAAATAATGAGCATCACTGTAAATGTGATTTTTTATGCTTTAAAATATCAGTTGGTGTCAAATACAAAACTTCTGAACATTGATCACATTCATATTTTTTCGCATTAGGTTTCAATTTTATTGTTTGATCATTAATATCACCTGAAAGTAAATAACATAACAAATTACGAGAGATTCATAAAATCATCAAGTTCAAAACTTTTTATGTCTATTTATTTGAAGCAAATAATAATTTGGATGAAAATTTTATTGTATATTAATGATATTGTATTCAATACATTATTATTGACTCATTAAATGTGTACATATTACTAATATAATCAATTGAACTTTATAAATACTAATTTTTATAAAATTAAACTGAGATATGTAATTTATTTTTAATTATACCATTTATATAAAAAAAGATTGAGTTATTAAAATAAAATAATATATTTGGGATGACTTCGTAAAGACTTAATTATAAATGGTATAAAAAAAGATCCATGAAAAAATATACTTAAGCGTTTAAAGGGTTTTGAATTATTTTAATTTTCTATAAGTATTATTTATAATTTATTTATATTTTTAGTAAAATAATATCTCTAAAATTTAATATTGTGAAAATATTTTTTTTATTCACTAACACCTGCGTCAACTAAACAACCAATTCTGAACAAAAGCGATTTAAAAAGTTTTTATAAAAGTATTCTCTCAAAATATTTAAGTATACGTATATGTATCTTTATATATATATTTTAAATATATATATATAAAGATACATTGTTTTTTACCACAAGCTTTAATTTGCAATGATTAGATTTATATACAAATTTCAAAACTTTTTGTTTATACAACTACAGTAAAAATCAATTATTATTTATGTGTAATTTATAAATTTCTGTACTTTTAATAATAATAGTCAAAAATAATCTTTATTAATGAGTTTGGAAACTACTTTTTCGAAACGTGAAGATTTACTTCACATTTGCAGTCATAATAGGTTTTTAAACATATAAAAATACCAAAAGTTTTCCAAAGTCAATATTCTATGAAATAGAAATTACAATGTTAAGTTTCAGGGTAAATTAATATAATATATAATTTATACTTAATACAGATTGAATTCTATAGATCCTATGGATTCTATAGATTCACCAAGAAACTAATCGCATGTAATTTTGTATTCTGTATTCCAAATAAAGAACTATTATGTTTTAAGAGATTAAAAAGTTATAATCAAACTTTAAAATTAATACTAAAACAAACTCAAGACAAATAAGTTTTTTTAAATTCTTCGTATATAAATTTATGTCACTAATTTCAGATGCTAAATATATTGTAAAATTACAATGGTAAAATACATTTAAAACTTTATTCATTATCTATGAAAAATTAAGCATCGAAATTAACAAACTGTAACTTATTTAATATTTCATGAAAAAAATTAATTTTGTCATTTATTAATTATACATAATATAAAATTAAAATTTTTACCTTGTGTTGAGTCACTAATACATTGAGAGTGGCAAACTTGTTTATGTTGCAGCCTTTCGAGTGCACTCATTATTTCTATTGTATTTTCACAAAAGGGACAAAGCCATGGTTCGTAGACCTCTTGACTTTGACCCGTCAAACTAAAAAATCAATATAAATTTTATGTAATATTAAATTTTAATAAATAGTTATGCGAACTGAGAAGGAATTAATTTTACTATGATGTGATTTTTTTATTTTTATTTTTTGGTGTCTGTTACCACTTTTTCTCAGCTTTCCCTGAACCGAATTATTTCAATGATACGTCAAAGATCACAAATCGTATCTAGTCGAAAACATTACCCTTTAAAATTGAAAAAATTTCCCTCGTTCCCCGTAAATGAAGGAAATCTCTAAACAAATTTAAATTTAAAAAAATTGCTAATTTTTGTCATTTTTACAATTTTTTTTGCTTAAAACTGCCATAACTTTTTTAAAAATGATTAAATAAATTTAAGTATTTTTCTTATAAATGCATGATGTGTTTACTTATCATTTGGTATATTTTTTTTTATATATTTGACCCATTAACTGCCCTCAGGCGGGGATTCAAAATGACAACTTTTGAAAGTGTTCCGGAAATATTGACGCTTTAATATATACCTTAAATTAAAGCTTATATAATATACTTTATTATGGAAAAATAATTTTTGGACTTTACTTTGTCTTTACGGTGAAAATTTTTCACAAAAAATTTACTTTTTTAACTTAACTTTTGAAAGTGTTTCAGAAAGTCTGACATTTTTTTATATATCTTAAATTAAAGGTAATGTAATATACTTTAATTTGAAAAAAAAAATTTCAGATTTTTTTTGTCTTTTCGTTAAAAAGACTAACGTATGCTATTTTTGTGTTAAAATTCTCAATTTTATATTTTACATTGTTAACTTTAAAATATTATAACTTTTCGAAAAATGTATGAATCATTATAATTTTTTTAAGAGAAGTACTATTTATATTCTTCAATTTTGCGACATACTTTTTTAGCTTCGATGCGAAGCGGAGAAGGTATTAATTTTACTATGATGTGTTTTTTTTTTTTTTTATGTCTGTTGCCACTTTTTCTCAGCTCTCACTGGACCGATTTCTTTCAAAAATACGTCAAAAGATCACAAATCGTATCTAGTTGAAGACATTACCCTTAAAAATTGAAAAAAATTCCCTCGTTCCCCGCAAATGGGGGAAATATCCAAAAAAATTACAAATTTAAAAATCGCTAATTTTCGTAATTTTTTCACTTTTTTTTCTTAAAACTTCCATAACTTTTTGAAAAATCAACAAATCAACATAATTTTTTTTTATACTAAAACCTTAAATATTTACCTTTCATTTGATATCATTTTTTTGAAAATCTAACACTTAACCTGCTCATTGGGGGAGATTTAAAATAGCAACTTTTTTACAAAAACTAACTTTTTCAACTTAATTTTTGAAAATGTTCCGGAAATACTGCGTCCTTTAAACATATATCAAATTAAAGCTTATTTTATGTACTATAAAATGAAAAAAAAAAATTTGTCCCGACACTTTTTCTTCTACATTTAAACGGCTGCCGTAGTTAAAAAAACACTATTTTTGTGTTAAAATTTTCGATTTTCGATTTTAAATTTTCAACTTAAAAATGCTATAACTTTTTGAAAAATGTATATATCAGCACAAATTTTTTTTTTCTAAATACATTATAAGTACATCTTTCATTTGACATACTTTTTATTAAAATTGGACAATTTCTCCTTATATAGGGGGCGTTCAAAACTTAAAATATTGTAAAAAACATAAATTTTTTTCAACTGAACTTTTGAAAATGTTCCGGAAATACTGCGTCCTTTAAACATATATCAAATTAAAGCTTATTTTATGTACTATCAAATCAAAAAAAAAAATTTGTCCCGACATCTTATCTTCTATGTGCAAATGGCTGTCGAAAATTTAAAAAAAAATGTAATGTTTGCGATAAAAATGACCTTTTATCGGGATGTTTTTTGTACTTAAAACTGCCATAACTTTTTCAAAAATGAACAAATAAAAATAATATTTTTTTGTATTGAAACCTTAGATATTTCCCTTTCATTTGATATAATTTTTTTTGAAAATCTAACATTTATTCTGCTCACTGAGGGAATTTAAAATAGTAATTTTTTTACAAAAAATAACTTTTTCAACTTGATTTTTGATAATGTTCCGGAAATACTGCGTCCTTTAAACATATATAAAATTAAAGCTTATTTTATGTACTACAAAATGAAAAAAAAAAATTTGTCCCGACGACCTATCTTCTATACGCAAATGGCTACCATATTCAAAAATATGCTATTTTTGTATGAAAATTATGGGTTTTGTATTTTATTTTAATAGAAGTTGATGTTGCTTTTGCAATTATCCAACAATTTTTTAAAATTAAACACTATCTACAGATTTGCATCGAAGCGTTTCTTATGATAGTGATTTTAATCACTGTCAGATTAAATCTAGACTGAACCCAACTATGCAATGTCTCCACTATGCCGCGACCCCACTGTGCTACCGTTTATTTTTTTTAATAAAACAATTTCCCTTTAAATATTTATATATATATATATATATATATATTGAATGATTCATTAAGGATAAGACACTTAATTTCTCGGTAACTATTGATCATTTAAAATTTTTGGTATTCGGTTATTTTAAAAGTCACTGTACTACACATAAAGTTGGGTTTTTCAAAGAGATTGATTCTTCAGTATTACAGTTTGTCTTACAAACCAATAGACTGTGCTATTAATAATACAGTTAAGGCCTACGACATACTTTTTTGTTTAATCTGACCATTTCCCTTTATACAGTGGGGTTCAAACTTAGAAATAACTATTGTAGATAAAACAAAAACTAAGTTTTATTTAGAAAAGATATTACCTCTTTACGTTCTTCACAATTACATTTAGGAAATTAATTTTACAAACAAAAAATATCAAGAAATTAGCTAAAGAAAATATCATGTTTTAATTGATTTCATAGCATAAATCAAAGAAAATAGTAATTGGCTTATAAAAAATAGATATTACTATTTTTAATTATTATGATGCAATAATAGATTATTTACTATGGAATTTTCAGTCTAAACATTCATTATTTAATTATTTTGCTTTAGTACAATTTAAAGTTGAATTAATAGTGGTTTTATTTCTATAAAATATTACAATGCCACCAAAAAAAAGCATATTCAGTAAATTTTTACATTTTATAAGAAAAGTATGTCAAAAAAAAAATAAAAAAAATTGTGCTAATATCAAGAGAATAAAACGCAAAAGTTGCTGCGAGTGGAGATTTTTTACATCCGGTGGTGACAGAAAAAAAGGACATCTGCATAATATATCACAAAATTGAATGCAGAAACTTGTGAAAACTCATACAATACAACGGATATTAACCGATTATTAAAAAACAAGATAATAAAAGCAAAATAAATTTTGTTAAATTGTTAAATCAAGTCTTTATAATCAATGCTAATGTTACAAGAGTTCATCACCTAATTATATAAGTTATATTTAAATATTTTCAAGTACATTGAATTTTTCTAAGTAATTGTTTGTATAAAACTCATGCCAAACATGGAAATAAATATTAAAAATAATTCATATATTTATATATTTTTTTTGTGTCTGTTACCACTTTTTCTCACCGAACCGATTTCTTTTAACGATACGTCAAAAGATCACAAATCGTATCTAGTCGAAGACATTACCCTCAAAAATTGAAAAAATTTCCTTCGTTCCCCGTAAATGGGGAAAACCTCCAAAAAAAAATACAAATTTAAAAATCGCTAATTTTCGAAATTTTTTCAATTTTTTTTACTAAAAACTTTTTCAAAAATAAAGAAATCAATATAATTTTTTTTTTATAGATGATTGATATCTTTACCTATCATTTGGTATATTTTTTTTTATAATATTAACCCTTTAACAGCCCACAGTGGTGGGATTCAAAATGACAACTTTTTCACAAAAAATTAACTTTTTCAACTTAACTTTTGAAAGTGTTCCGGAAATACTGACACTTTTATATATACCTTAAATTAAAGCTTATGTAATATACTTTTATATTAAAAAAAAAAATTTTGGACTTTATTTTGTCTTCACGGTGAAAATAGCTACCGTATTCAAAAATATGCTATTATTGTGTTAAAATTCTTGGTTTTGTATTTTATTTTATTATAAGGGGATTACACTGATTTTCAAAAATATTATATCAATCTAATTGACATAGTATAAAAAATTAAACATATTTAAATTTTTTTGTTTCTTTGAAGTCGAGAAAAATAACTTTAAAATTTGAACTAGCTAAATTTCCATTTTTATTAAGTGACGAATGAGACGTACGGTTTCTGAGACGGTAACACTTGGGTCTTTCACGCCTGTGGCATTGAATTTTTTCTTAATTCTTTTTGAGTTAGAAAAAAATGTGTTAACTCATTTGATTTTTATCTCATTTAGATTCAATAACTTCAATAAATATTAAGGATCCCATTACTGTAGTCTCCTCTTGTGAGAAGAAATTCATATTAATATTATTTTAGTATGTGGTTTTGTTTTATAGCTATCATTTATTTTCTCAGCTCTCACTTGACCTACTTTTTTGACAAATTTTTTTTTTTTTAAATTAAACACAATCTACAGATTTGCATCGAAGCGTCTTTTATGATAGTGATTTTAATCACTGTCAGATATCATCTATACTGGACCCAACTATGCCACGACCGCACTGTGCCGCCACCCCACTGTGCTGGGTTTTTTTTTATATAGATGCATGATATTGTTACCTTTCATTTGGTATATTTTTTTTATAAATCAGATCGTTTACCTTCCCACAGGGTAGGACTTAAAATAACAACTTTTTCATAAAAAATTAACTTTTTTAACTTAAATTTTGAAAATGTTTTAAAAATACTAGCAATTTCGGATTTATTTTGGTCTTCATGGAAAAAATGTCTACCTATATATATGCACTATAATATGTTATAGTAACATATTCAATTTTTTTTACTGTAAACTTTCACAAAACTTTATCAAAAATTTTTTATCAACTTTAAAGAACCAAAAAAATAGGTTAAAAATGAAAATTTGGACTGATTATTTTTAATATATTAAAAATCAAATCAGTAATAATTTGAAAACATCGCGAAAAGTTGATTTAGAATGGTATATTTTTGTTACTGATGAAAGTTCCTTGTAGTTCAGTGCATTTATTTATAGTAACAAACAGTTTTTATTGAAATTTATTGTATCAAGCCCTTTAAATTTTTATCCACATAAAAATAAAGCAAAATACAACTTCTTTATTATTTTTATAATTTCTCCGTTTAAATTACAATATTAAATTATTGAATATCAATTTCATACTAAATTTAATAATTATAATTAGTATTTATTCATATATTATATTTTAAAATCAAAGAACTACTAATCAGGATATAATTAAAGAAATAAGAGTTGATGCTGCTTTTGGAATAATCCGCCAAATTTTTAAAATTAAACGCTATCTACTGATTTGCATCGAAGCTTTTTTTATGATAGTGATTTTAATCACTGTCAGATTAAATCTATACTGAACCCAACTATGCTACGTCCCCATTGTGCTGGGTTTTTTTATAAAAACTATATAATAAATTAATGAAGGTAACAGATGATATCTCACCAATCATAAGTCAAATAAGGTGATAACCGAAGACCACCAAATTTATCATCTTCACATACATGCCAATCCACATCACTGAAAGGATTGCAACCAGAAAATTGGACGTCTTCGCCTGTAGGGCCAAGATATAAGACTTTTTGGTCTGCAGCCAATAAACGCTTAATCGTATAACCAACATCAGCGTACATGAATCGAACCATATCATCTGCTAACTGTTTTTCGGCTTTTCTATTACTCTTTTCTAATAATAAATTATAAAAATTAAAAATTTCCAACAAAAACCAAATGGGAGTTTATAGGGATAAGCAATAATATAGTTTAAATAATTATATACGAGGAACCAATTGATATGAAAAATATTTTTTGTATATTAATAACATTTTTATCAATTGTTTTAACCTACCATCTAATTTCAGTTTGAGTAGTCTTTCCCAAGTATTTCGTAGCTTAGATGCTCTAACTATTAACGTTTCAGCTGCCTCCGACAGTGGAAACTCCAATAGTAACCAGGAATCACAAACTACTCTAAAAGTATATAAAATATATAAATTTGTTGAACTTTATAATAAAAAAGAAAAATCAGTATTGTACTTACTGGGAAAAATTCTTATTGGTACAAATATTTCTGCTAAATAACAAAAGAGTCTGTATAGCGGGCATTCTTAAGGAATTCATAATGTACGCTTTAGTAGTTTCTAGCAAAGACCTTAAAAAAATAAATAAAAATATATAATAATTACAAAATTGAATAAATGAAAAGTTTAACAAATTATGTAAGAATTTATTTTCTTACAATTTAAAATTTTATATCGTTAATGTAATGCATATCATAGATAGTTATATTAAATTTAAGAAATTAATATAAATTCAGTGAATACCAAATACTACATCACTGATGTAATATTTGATTGGGTTCGCCGAACATTTATTATTTTCAAAGTTTTTTGGTCTAACAGATATAAATAAAACATAGCTCTATTTTAAAATAATTAAATTCATACAAAAATTCCTTTGTCGAACAATTATTGCAGATGATACTCCAATAGTATTCGAATACATCCTACAGAAATTATAGATACGAAGTAGAGATTGAACTTAACAATCAAAATATATCTAATTAATAATATTTCCTAAGCCATAAGTAGTCATCAACTCAAATGATGCGAATTCACATCAAAAAAATATCAATATCATTAAAATAAAAGTAATGATGATAAACAGAACATATGAACATATATAAAAAAAACCAACCACTATATAACCTCAAAACCTTTAATCACAATGAAGTTCTTTAAGGGTACTTCTTGTACATTACACTTATGAAATCTTAAAGTAAAAAAATCTAGTATAGTGGGGACGAGGCATAGCTAGGACAAGTACTAATAATATCTGACAGTGATTAAAATCACTATTATAAAAAAAGCGCTTGGATATAAATATGTATATAATGTTTAATTTTTAGAAGAAATTGTTGGATTATTTCAAAAGCAACATCAACTTCTATTTTTTTAATTATATTATGATTAGAAGTCTTATGATTTATAAGTATAATACATAAATAAATACTTATTAAAGTAGTTCCTATTTTATACCTAAACAGGCAACAAGTTTGTTTCGCTTTTGTGTCTGCATTATACGTGTACGTTTGTTATAGAATTTAATAAAAGTTTAAAATACATACCACGGACATATAGATAATAGTAAATTAATTTAAACAAGTTATTTATTAAATGAGTTACACAGTAAGTTATACCACATATCAAATTTCAATAAAATGAATATAACCATAGATAACGACGGAAACTAGCTGTATAAAAACGTAACTATTAGATCAGATATATTAAAACAAACTATACTAAGTGATAATTGTATCAAAAATTATAAACGTTGTCAGTTAGGTCTCAGATACTCAGTATACATTTACAATAAATAATATATGACAATCAGGATATTAGAAAAGAAATCAAGCATCTTGAAATAGAAATTTCACTACTATACTAAATCAATTTGAAGTTAACACATCACTCAATTTAAAAAAGTAACAAACTAAAGTAAATGTTAAGTCTTTCAAAAAAGTAACGAATTATTTAACTTAATCAAAATAATTAACTTTTTAACGAGTTAATGCCCAATCAGTCATGTTGAATTATATACTTTCGAATTTAGGAAGTTATACTCATTTTTATACTTAGACGGGAGGAAGAGTGTGACTGAGAAATAACTAGTGATAAAATAACAACAACGCGTCAACTCTCGTTATTGATATATAACTTCTATAATACTGGTACAAAAGTTGTAAATGACAGTCATTTTCTTAGTTAGTTCATTATCTATTAAATAAGCCAGTTAAATAAGTATATTAATTTTAAAAAATAAAGATGACACCCTTATAATATACAAGGGATGATATGAAAAATACTTCATGATTAATTAATTAAAAAAAAACAAATGTCTAAAAGAAATCAAAAAAATTCTCAATGCTATTTTTTAATTTCGAATAATTAAGTGATTTATTTTAAGTGACCACTCTGTTAATTTTTTTGTATTTATTATTCTGGAATTTTATGAGTATGAAAATAAATAATTATCTATATAATATATTCTTATATAATTTAAAAGCTTTAACTATCAACATTTTATGAGTAAATAATTGTAGCGATAAAAAAACAATCAATAGCAAAAGGTGATCATGTAAGTAAGTAAAAGTGTAAGTAAACTCATACAAAAAATACTTTTTTTGAACTAAATTTTTAATTTTCAGGTATCTTCAGTCTAATTCTTAAAATTCGTATGTCTAAAATGAGAAATTTTACAGAAAAAGAAAAAAACTTGGAGGTCATACATCGTATATACAACGATTTTTTATTATCAATTTCGAGGAGGTTAAAATTAAGAAATAAAAAATTCAATTGTAACAATGAAAACAGTTTTATTCTCCATTTAATAAAAAAATAATAAAAAATGAAAACTAATAGATATACGACATTTGCGAGTCAAGCTGACGGTTTATTAAATGTTATTTATGGAAAAGACAATATAAAAATATTACCCATTTGATGTGTTTTGATGAAGAGTTAAAAATACGAGCTCACTTATCGAAGATGTAATTGCATTATTTTTTTTTAATGTAATAGTACACTGTTTACATAACTTAGATAATTTTTTACGTTTTTCAGATTATGATAATGTCACATAAAATATGAAAAACTATGCATTCATTCTTTGAAAGTAATAAATATACAATATTTTTATCATTCTTTATAGTAGTAACAATGAAAGATATCTAATACTTTTGAAATTTTCTTTCATAATATTATGGCAATGGCGATGTCATCTCATTTTAGCAACAAAAGGCATTTTGGCACAATAATAATACTGATATATACGACATCAATAATTAATACATTATAACAGACATGATTTATGTCATAATAATTCATAGCATATTTTTTTAATATATGATCAGTAAAACAAAGAGAACATATTAATAAAAATAACAATTTTTTAGAGTACTAAAGTAAACGTATTAAAGTATTTTAATTTCAAGTTTTATAAATTATGATTGTTTTTAACTTACATGTAAATCAAAATTTGATGTTTCGAACTGATAGTACTTTTGCTTTTAAAATCAGGAACATGTTGTACATCTAATTCAGTCAACTGTAGTACTTCGGAATGATTACCAAAATAGCTCATAGGATGAAGTGAAACAAACGGTTTACCTTCAGTGTGAAATAAATGTTCTTTAGTTGTCTAAATTTGTAAAAAATATATTTAAGTTAAAATAACTATTAATGCAGTTTATAAAGTCTAACATAGAAATGATCAAAAATTTTCTAGATAACATTTCAGGAGAAAATTTTTGACAACTACGTTTAAAATTACACACGTATATATACTTTTAACATTCGAATAAACTTATTTTTTAATTAATTATATAACTAGTAAGATTATTCTTGTACTCCCTATCACAAATGTAAAATATTTGTTTTACATAACAATTTTTCAAACGTTGCACTAAAATCTCATATTCTCAAAATAATCCATTTTCATTCTAAATTTATTAGTTAACAAAAAAAAATAACTTTTACCTTACAAGAATTGAATTCGTCAGCTATAGCTATATGAGGATATAAACCACTACTTAAAATTATTTTTAACATCATTAAATCTTTGTAACTAATTGCTGTAGTTCCTTTTAATAATTGCTAGAAAAAAATTGTTCATTACTAACACAACTCATAATAGTTAGATATATCAGTAAATAAGTAGTTGTGTACAATACCTTAACTTGACGTTGATTATGTCTAAGTCGAAAATCAATGTCTCTTATATCAACAGTATCATCTTCCGTATCTACATTTTCTTCAACTTCCCAAACGTCTTTTTTTAATACTTTTCGCTTTCTTGACTCTTCTTCTTTATGTGTTTTTTTCATATCACGCAATAACTTCAATTCGCCGTGTCTTAGAGCTCTTTCAGCACTAGTCATATCGTCCATATTTTTTTCATCGTTTTTTACCAAACCACACTCCTAAATGTATTCATGTTTCGTTAGATAAATAGTATACATAATATTCTAAATTCCAACAACTTATGTATATCTAAAAGAATGGTGGTAGTGTAAAAAAAAATCATTTTTGAATTATTAGACATATTGGTATCTTTAATTCTTCTTTAATGATATTTTTCTTTTGTTATTAAAATATTAATCAATAACATAAAATAGAAGAAAAATTTTGGGAGGTTAGTAAAAAATTGAATACTTATACATTTTAAAAGATAACTAATGTAATAGATATATCTTTTTAAATTTTTTGGAGGGCCTCAGTCCCAATACTCTTATCAATTTCTACTTATGATTGATAATTTCCTACACTTTTACAACGTTATTAAATTTATGGCTCATATCCAAAAGCTGATGTCACAAAAATGGTTTTTTGAGATTTTATATAATTTGTGTAGAAACCTTTATAGTGTAGAGGTAAAATTGTAGAGTCTACACAATTTTATCTGAAATTATTGTTTTTTGCACTTAAAAAATATCAAAAATATGATTTTTATTTGCTTTTGCGCTTCTTAAAAATTGCTAAAAGTTACATAATATGTAATATATTAATATGATATTATCATATTAGAAAATAACCATAAAAATACAAGTTATTAGTTAAATATTTAGAATAATATTTGAAATTCTTATGATTCTTTTATTATTATTTTTTTTTTTAATAATAGAAAATATAAATATATTTATCTTAAGTTATTAAAATAAGTTCAAACTTTCGGTTATAACTTTTGAAAAATACTAACGTCTAATAGATCTTTGAACTGTCGACGCAACTTTGTCATTTCATAGAAACGCTGTTCTTCGAATCCTCTTCTTTTACACCATTGACGGGTATTAATGTTTTGTCCATCACTCTTTAACTCTAACCATTGTTTAAACGCATTCAATAAAATAATTGGATCCCCATGGTCAGACTCCAAATCCATTCTAGCTCTCTAAATGTTTAATTAGTCTATTAATCTTTTATTAATAAAAATATTGTAAAAAAATTATACTAAAATTTATCTTACCTCGCATTCGGGATCTTTATAGGCTTTATTTGTAAAAGGTGTTTGAACTGATAGTACACAAGCTAAAGATAAAACAGGTTCTAACTGATCAAAAAGAGACCCCATAATAAGCATTTTCCCAAGAGGTATATCGACAGGTAATCGAGATAACATGTTACCAATAGGAGTCAGTTTCTCTTCTTTTGTTATAGCACCCTAAAGTTATTATGTTTCATTAATATTTTTTTACCATTTTAATAAAATCTAATTAATTTTTAACAAACATATTGTTTTAATGATTCAATAGCATTTTCCACGCTTTCTGGCTGCGGCGGTTCGATAAATGGAAATAAACGAGCATTTGGTAAGCCCATAGCTACCATTTGAAGCAAAAGAGAGTCTAAAGGCACTTTTTGTAATTCAGGTGTACTATATTCAGCCATAGATTCAAACTCATCCTCGGAATACAAACGGTAACAAACTCCGGGGCCAGTACGACCTTCATATAATTTTGTAAAAATCATATTAATTCATGCTACGGTTTAAAAATTAAGGTCTGTACCTGCTCTTCCTTTACGTTGGTCGGCACTTGCTTTGCTTACCCAAAACTCTTTAAGTCTCTGTACTTTGCTTGCCGAATCATAGCTCATCTCTTTCACTTTACCGGAATCGACTACAAATCTTATGCCATCAATTGTAATTGAAGTCTCGGCAATATTTGTTGATATAATGCACTTCCGTGTGCCTTCTGGTGCATAGTCAAAAACCTTAAAAAACAAAATTAAATATAAATAAAAATATGGATATTTAAGAATTTATACTTTTAACTATACTTTGTCTTGTTCATCTAAAGACATAGAACTATGTAAAGGTAAGATGATCCAAGAGTCTGCTTTTTCACAGTACACCCGTGCTGAATCTGCCACAGCCGTAATTTCAGCCATACCACTCAAAAACATTAACACATCACCTCTCTCGTGCTTAGAATATTTTTTATCGATCATCTGTAGAATTTTTACAAATGGTGACGGATCAAAACGTTCGGATTTTTTACCAAGAACTTTCATTTCACTAATAATTGGATGATATTCTAGTTTTATAGGGTACAAGCGACCCGGAACCTGAAAAAATGAATAGAATTGTAGTAACATTAAAAAAAAAATAATTAGTGATAATAAACGATCTGAAACGCTAGGGATAAATTGAAAGCTGAGCAAGTAGAGCATATTTCCAAAACTCTGCACTTATTGTGTGGTTTTGGGATCCTGCACAAAAAATGTTATGAGTAACAATTACCTTTTATTTTTTATAAGTAAAAATATAAGGTCATTTGGTCGTAATTTAATTAAGTTTTATAATATATCCAGTGTTCCAGAAATCATAACGCCAACACTAAAAGAGTAATGAGAAAACAGCATGATTTGTACATAAAATCAAGTGTCTGTCAGAATAAAAATTCACAATTATTCATTACTATTTAAATATTGCAAAATTAAAAAATAGAATAAAAAAACTATAATAACTAAAAGAAAATTTATAAAACGTAAGCCTTCTAAATTTACATGAATAAATATAAATATTGTTTAATTCATGGAAAATGGAAATTTAAAATTCGTTTTTTCAAATCAAAAATACGGATTCTTATTCTTTCCTTCGGCTCTTAACTTGATAAAACGTGTCAAAAGTAAAGTAACCCATAGAATACCTGTATTAGTTTAGCCAAAGGAGAAAAATATTTATTAAATAAATCCACATTAATGGTAGCAGACATAAGAACAAGTTTAACATCAGATCGTTGTTGTAACAAGCACTTCATCACTCCTAACAAGAAATCGCCATGTAAATGACGTTCATGTATTTCGTCCAAAACAATAACATCATATTGCGACAGCAAATCTTCTCCACATACCTGTAATCAAAAGTCAATAATAAAGTTTACATTATAATCATAGGCACAACTAGGAAGCCTTAAAATTAATTTATATGAGGATCACAGTTTTCAATTTTTTTAAATAATATTTCAATATTAATTGTACATAATTATTTTTGACTATTGCTAAATTGTATGTCTAATATATAAATATATTACTTGTCTCAGCAATAATCCTTCAGTTAAAAATAAAATTTTTGTGTTTTTATTTACTGTCTTCTCAAATCGTATTTGATAGCCAACATCATTGGTAAAAGTAGACATGGACTCATAAGCAACTCTTTTGGAAAGTGATATGCAAGCTATTCTACGTGGTTGCGTGCAAGCTGTACAAAATATTCTTCAGTTAATATCAAATACCATTTTATTTATTGCTCTAAATAGTCATATATTTATTACCAATACACTTATAACCAGCATTCGATAAATATTGAGGAATTTGAGTTGACTTCCCACAACCTGTATCGCCAGCTATTATCACAACTCGATGATTCTTAACAGCATCTATTATTTCATTTCTAAAAGTTAAAAACTTATACAAATTTCTGAATTGATAAAAAAAGTTAAGTTATAACCAGAAGTGTGTTCAGGATTTTGTCTTGGGAAAGTGATACAATATATTCAAAAATACATCTTTATCAAATATTTATTTTCGTCGTGAAAAGACTATCCTTCATATACCCCCGTAAAAACAGTCATACTTATAACTTTCTTTATTAAATATATAAAATATTTTTTTAATGTAAAAAACATATTTTATTATGATAGCCTAATAAAAATATACAGAAGCTGTGTTGACGATTTTCAGATGGCTAACTACCCCGCAATGAAATGTGATTAAAAAATGTGTTTCTGTGGGAGTTAGTACATAACGTAGTTTTAACTAATAACACGGTATTGAAAGAGTGTTTTTAATGATTATTTAATTTTCTTTCGCCAACATGTGCTGAATAATAATTACTGGGTAATTATAAAGTATAACTGTGAATCCACCTAAATATTTTGTAGTCATATTATTATTATTATTATTATTATTTTATTTAAAAGTGTGAACTATTTTTATGTTAAACTGCTTCTGGAGTAATATTTTTCCAGAATAATATAATACAACATAATAAACACGTATGTTTGTAGTGAACGCTAAACTTAATGTCACAATAAGAAATAATACAATAATCTCTGTAGTAAGTGGTTTAACAAAAATATGTTTGTGAACATGTCAAAATAGTTAAATTACTATAACGAAAAATTTAGTTATTCAAAACATTTTATATTAATGGTAACTATTTAAACTTTCAGTCGAAAAACTCAACTGAAGTAAAAATTTATTTTTTCCATTTATTCATATTTTGTACTTCAAAATAATGTTTTTAAATAAAAGTAATGTGAATTTTAATAAATAAAATAGTTAACGAGTTTATTGATACGCAATTGCCTAAACTCAGGAAGTTTGACCTAGTGAAACTTTCAAGAAATTTAACAAAATAATGATTATCTCATTGATAAGCAACAATTTATCTAGATCATTTTTCATGATCTTTTAATAAGAAATTATTTAACAAAATGAAATGAGTTGAAGTCTTCTTAACTTAACTTTATATCTTTTAGACTACAATTTTCTTATCGACGAAAGAGAGGGAAAAAGACGTTACAGTTTTTGTTAAACACTTGGGTAAATCAATTTATTACAAAAAAAGCGTTTGTTTTAGATCTTTTAATTTCATTAAAAAAAATTTAAATACCTTTTAGATTCAAATGTATAAAATTTTAAACAAAAATTTTAAGCCAATCAGCTCTAATGGAAAAAGAATCGTAACCAGGCGTTGAAAAATGGTGATTTAATATTTAAGAAAATTGTAACTTTTTTAAAGTTGACTTTAACAAATTTACTTTAAATTATTATATAATTAATGACAGCAGTGTATCCAGTCTATAATTATCAAGGAAGTGTTGAAAAACTAAGAAATTACCTTAAAATTTATCATTTTAATTAGTCTCTTATCGCTAAAGAGAAAAAAAAGTGTGTTAGATATGCTGCTATTTGATAGTAAGATCAGTAGCGTACATAGAAATTAAATTTGGAGGGGGTTTTTGAAATGTAAAGAAAATTAGATGACACTGCCCATATTGTTCGCTCACAAAAATTCCTGTTTTCGATTACTTTATTGTGGAAATATTTATAGTATGATATGATCTATTTTTATTGTTATTACTTATTGTTTATCGTCCAAAATTGTCACTTAGCTTATAAATTTTATAAAGTTTTGTGCTGATGTTTCGAACTCGTTGTAAAATTCATATTTGGAGCAAAATTACAGGTCCGAAGTTGTAACTATGTTGCAGCTTTGCTTTGTATTGTGTAAACGGCTCTAGAAATCCAGACTGCCTCTTTATCACTGTGTTTGCATGGCTTATTTTTATATTGGTAATCGGATGATAAGCGATAATGTCATGATTATTTTTTGTTGTTGATAACGACAGTCTGTTATTGATGTTGTTTTTATCTGCGATTAGTTTTAGATTGCTATTTTCGTCATTTCTTGATATTTTAATCTTCCTTTTCTACACCGGCGAATTTCTGATAAATCGAATTAACTTTATCACATATTATGTTTTTTCTTTTTTACCTGGTATATTTTTTCTTGGTATATTATAGGTAACAATCTTAATAATTTTCCATTCGTCTTCTCAACTATGGTTTTTTTGGCATTTTTCGATTTTTCATCACTTCTAATAAACATGTTTACAAGAATGAGCATCTTTATTTAAAATGTTGAACTCGTCAAATCTAATTTTGTGTCCACTGTTTTTGGCGTGTTAAGATACTACGGATTTTTCGCTCTTTGATAGTCTCGACCTTTTTCATGTTTTTGTTGCATTCTCTTCCTGTTCTCTAATATATAACTTGTCATATGAACAATTTTATAGTCACCTAGTTTTTGTAATTACGCTAAAGCGTCCTTCGAAATTCGTAAGTAGTGTTTCTATGCCTGTGTTCGGTTCTTGTTTTGCATTTTTTAGTGATTCTTGAGATGTTATCAGAAATTTTTGTACGTACATAAAAATAAGAGTTCCAATCTTATCGTCTTCTTTGTTTTTCTTAATGTTTGTAATCGCATAGCCATTATTTTAAATTCATTGCCGTAGATACGTTTATTCTTCTTTTACATCGTCTTAGCTATTCTTACAGTTGTTATAGCCATTGTATATATTAATTTCATTTTCTGTGTAGGGTATTAGTATGAATCGGTTATAGGTATCTGTCGATATTTGTGCTTTTATGTACATTTCTGTGTCGAATTTACAATTCGGCTATTTCACGGCGGTGCCGTGTCAACTAGTACATCTAAGAAAGATAGATGTTCGTTTTTTCAATTTTTACTGTGAACTGTATGTTGGCATTTTTAATATTTAGATGTTATAAGAATCTCTTTAGATGGCCATAATTGTGTTTCCAAAGCACAAATGTGTCATCTACAGATCGTATCCACGATTTTTAAATTTTTGACCACATGTGTTCATTGATTTTTTTCCTTGCCAACATTTGGAAAATTTCCTCATACGTGAAAAACTTGACGGACTTTGTCGAAAATTTACAGCGAACTAGTGGGGAAGAAAAAGACATTCCTGTCAGTTTTCCGTAATCTCTCTAGTCACAATGATACCAGTAAAGGTCAGGCTTAACATCATTAAAAAAAAAAATGGTTAGATGTAAAACTCAATGACTTATTAAACTATACACCAAGGCAACAGTTTTTACTCATCAATATTTAATGGAAACAAGATTGATGTCAAAAATAAAATCGACAGCACTAAACTGAAAACGTAGACATCTGTAAATATCTGTAAATAGAAATTTACCAATATTTTATTTAGTTTTACTAAATTATGGTTTCTGAGTTAATAAGTTTTAGCCAAGCGTACATACTGTATATCATTTATTAAATATTAACTTTGTCAAAAATTATTATGTATAAAACTTATTAAGTACGAATTTATTGAAAAAAAGCCATTAAAAGTAATAAAACTATTTTTTAACAAACTAGGTTTTATAAAATAGTAAGGAAATTTTTTAGTAAAGTCAAAAGAACGTTTTTACACTGCTTTATTTTTTTTCATAATTAAAAAATGACCTAAATTAAAAATTGTGAAACTCTCCTATTTGATCACTCCTCGCCTTCTAATTTATTTAACTTTGCTATTTAGAAGAGGGCACATTTTTAGACATTTGATGTTTACTTTTCCTGTGCTTTTTAACTACTTACAAAATTAGGACTTAAAAAGTTTTTTCGAAAACATTTAATTATTTTTAAAATAAAAAAAGAAACATAAAAAATCAGTTATTTTGGAAAAAGGGTTTCAAAAAATTGTTTAAAACATTCTTATAATTTAAAAAAATTAAATTAAAAGTTTTAAATACCAAAAACTTTAAACAAAAACGTAATATTAATAAATAATAAAACAATTATAAAAATCTGATTAATTTTTTGTTTTAATACCACCAGTCAAATGGAGTATAGTATGTCATATATCATATGCAAAATAAATAAATAAAATAAATGGAGTATTATTAAGGGCGATTAAATTAATTTAATATAATATTAAAATACGAGTACAGTACTTAGATTACATGTTAGAATAAGTATCATTTTAAGTATTCAGAAAAATACAAAAAAATGATTCAAATATTTACAAAACTATTGAAAAATATTACTAAGTTTATTAATTAGATAAAATTTGTAAGTTAATTAATAATGTCTTATTAAAGGAAGGCAACAAAAAACACAGCAAGCAAATTAAATTTGCCAACAAAATAGCAAAATCATAGTACTAGACAAATACTATTTGCCTTGTACAGTATTATAAGCTCAAACAAAAAGTGAAGCTTACTTGAACTGATGAACTGGCAAACTTTTTTGAGAATCTCTTAATTTTACCAATTTATTAAACCTCTCTTTTTGTTTAAAATCCATATACATTTCTACTAACTGACGAAACTGAGTGATATCATCTTTCGTTAATGGTCTCTTTTCATATTTCTTTTCTTGGTCATATGTAGGTAACCTACTAGTTAATTCTTCATCAGAGATACCCAATTTTAAATTAATCATATCCATTTTATCGAAAGTATTTGGAAGATTTAGAGGGTTTTTATTAGTGGTAGTACTTGAACTTTCTATGCATAATTTTTTCAAAACAAATGTTTCAAATTTCTTCACAAATAACCAAGCATCATCAACGTCTTCAACAAGGTCATTGCTGAAAAATACTTTGTCTAGTGTATGTTTGTAATTCAAAAACGAAAATGTTTTAGGTGACGTTTTCCGATGTTTATAATTATGTTGATCAATATCTGAACTTTTTCTTTTCTCGCTATACATGGTCGAAATGAGCTCCTATAGAATAACAACCAATAAGAGATCATATTACCATAAATTCCTAAAATTTTAAACACCTATAAGTAATTTATTATAAACGGTGCCTCCTCCCTAATATTTACTTCTGTAAAACAGTAAACATTTTATATACATATCTATCAATACATACTTATTTTTACTTATTACCTACACTGAAACACAACAAATTATCAATCTATGCATTGCATAGGCAATAGTAAGTCAAAACTCAAATTAAACAATGATTATATCTTTATATATTTTTATATAATTACTTTTATAATAGTAAAATTATATTTTGTTATTTTAAATTTTTAAAATAGGTGTTAATTATTTTTTTTATTATTACATTTACACATTTATTTATATCTCGTCAAATAACTAGTAACAGTATAATACATTGAAATAAAAATTTAAGATTCAAATACGAGTATGATCTTGATACTACATAATCATTCACCATCAGTATGATGTATTTGGCTGACTTCATCTAAAATATCTTCAACAATATCTGTTTTTTCTGGTGAAGCATTGGTAAATATGTTACCTACATAACAAAAAAATATTTGAAAGAAATTGAGACTGTAATTGAATATATTATTGGTTATTAAATGTCAACAAATAATTGCTATTATTTCAAAACAAAATAAAAATTATTAAAATATATTTATACAAGTATAAATAGAATATGATAAAAGTTTATAATAGAGTAATAATCATAAAAAAGGAATTTTTAAATTGATAATAATATACATTCATGGAATTAAATGTATGCCTTTTAACATGTATTATTTGAAAAATGTTGATTTATACATTTTTTCATTAATCTTTTATTAATCTAAAAAAAGTAATTTTTCAGAAAAACTAATGACTCTCCAATATTATTAACTTTTAAAACTTACCAATGGTATTAGGAGAGAGTTTTTCAACTATTACTTTACACTTTTTTCGAGAACTAACATGATAGACAGAATGTTTATAAGGCAGTTCTAATGTAGAAAAATCTACATTATGGCCAGGATTAATAGCTGGCAGACCAGTATATGGATGTATGAAGTCGGCCCAATATCCTGCACTTTGTAAACGATCAGTAATTCCAAAAGCCGCATACAAATACTAAAAAAAAAAAATCATCTATTATCTAACAAAAAATCATTACTAAAATAATTAAACATACTATATAAATAAATTACCATATGAAAAAATATAATTAAAACATAATTAAATACCAGAGTTCATAAAGACTAGTTATATATTATTGAATTAATATAATTTAAAGTAAATCATGTAATGAATAGTTTAATAAACAAAAATAAAAATGCTTGATTACAAAAAATATAGAATTAAAAAAGAAAATAGAAAATTATTATTTAATCAAATTGGGGTTGGTTTGGTATGATATGTATGCTAGATTTGTACACTTCATTTGTATTATATTTATAAATCATATAAAATAAATAAATGTATAAAAAATATCTTTATGATTTATGATTTGATAAACTATGAAAATTTGAAATTCAATAACAATAATAATTTTAATGATACAATAAATCCAAAACTATATATATATATATATATAGTCTATATTTAAAGTCAACAACTTTGTAGGTTTAATTTTAGTGTATTTAATTGAAAGAATAATTTTTATTTTTAATAATTAAAAAATTGTATATTTTCTCAAACTGAACTTAATAAATTCTATAATTCAACTAATACTACAATGATGAGTTGTATGATTGGCTAGATTCAAAGGAAGGCGAGAAAGAAATACATAAACTTGCAATGGTAAGAGAGAAAAGCTCTAAAGATTATCATTATATAAGGTGTATAAAAAGTGTTAATAATAAGGTACTCTTGAGTGATGATGATGTGAAAAAAGGTCGAAAGAGTATTTTGAAAAATTACTGAATTAGATGTACCCAAAAGAGACATTAGAGAATATCTAGTGGAATGAGGGAGTGGTAAATTCAATTAGTGAGAAAGAGATATGGGAGGCTGTGGCATCAATGAAAAAGAATAAAGAAGTAGGACCAGATAGAGTACCAGTAGAAGTATGGCAAATATTAGGCAGTGTTGGCATAAGGTGGTTGAAGGAACTTTTAAATAAAATCTTATTAGAAGGGAAAATTCCAAATGAATGGAGGAATAGTATTGTGGTGTCAATATTTTAAGGTAAAGGTGACATATAGGAGAGTGGAAATTATAGAGGCATAAAGCTTATGAGTCATAGTATGAAAATTTGGGAAAAGGTAATAGTTAAGAGGATAAGAAATATAAAAGGCTAGAGGTAAGAAGATCAACTATTAAAGAAAGGGGTTTAAGAATAAGTAGAAGTAAGACAGAGTATATAGAGTACAAGTTTGACAAAGGAGAACACAAGGTAGGTGAAATGAGGAGATCAGTGACAATAGGCTAGGACATGATTGGAGAGGTGAAGAGTTTTAAGTATTTAGGGTCAATTGTGCAAAAGAGTGATGATATTGATGAGGATGTAAGACACAAAATTGTGGGCGGTTGAAGTAGAGAAAAGCGTGTGGCGTCTTAAGCGATAAAAAAATTCCAATGAGGCTGAATAGTAAATTCTACAAGACTGTAGTGAGGCCAGTTATGTTATATGGTTCAGAGTATTGGGCGATTGATAAGAAAGTAAAGCAAAGAATGAGTATAGCAGAGATGAGAATGCTTAGATGGATGAGTGGAATGACTAGAGAAGATAGGATAAGGAACGAGCATATAAGAGGGAGTATAGGTGTAGAGTCAATTGTGAATAAGATAAGAGAGAATAGACTTAGATGGTTTGGTCTTGTTATGAGGAGAGAAGAATCAGAAGCTGTAAGAACAGTTATAGAAATTAATGTTGAAGGAAGAAGAGGTAGAGGAAGAACAAAAAAGAAATGGAAAAATGCTATTGAATGCGATATGAGGATGGCTCATATGATCGTAGATGATGTGGGAGATTGTGTCAAGTGGAAGTTTAGGATAAGGGTGGCCGACCCCAAGTAGTTGTGATTAAGGGGACGAAGAAGAAGAAGAACTAATACTACAATATTATTTAACCAATACTTAACACTAATATATTAAAGAAAAAATATTAGGGTGATCTTCATTGGACAAAATGAAACAATTTAATACTATGTACCTCTAATTTTGTTCTATGTATAAAAAAATTTTTTTGTGAATTTTGAGCTGAATACTTCTTAATATGCCTCAAAAGAATTGAAAATTGACAAAAAAGAGTCAAATAGTAATAGTAACATTGTTTACTATGTCTAAATTATTAAATATTATAGATATGAGAAAAATACTTATTTGTAATTTGATAAAAAATTGTTATGCATATAATTTTATTGTAGCATTGCTTAAATTCAATGCGTCAAATTGCTTAAATTAGGTATATAAGGAAAACCCTAAAATCTATACTTACTTGTTTAGTTAAATTTGACAAATTAGTGCTAGATATTTGTTTCAAATTAATTGTTATCATACATAAAGGAAAGTGTTTTAAGTGTGGAACATTGAATCGCTCAGTTATTTCTAAAACAGATTAAAATATAAAATAATTAAAAAATTAAATAAAGTATAATAATATTATTGTATAATATTAAAATTATGTAATTTTATATTCTAGATATTTTATTTCTTTGACCATTTTTTAAAACCTGATCAGTCAAGTATTTTTTTAAATTCCTATGGTGTTATACAAATTGTCATAAGTGCAAAACATAAACCTTTTCAATAAAATTGAGTCTTAATTTTTTGGCACTTCACTCAAAACATCTTTTTCTAAATTATTAATAAAATTCTGATATCTATTTTTTGAGAATTGTCAGCTCTTAGATATTAGCTACATTTTTTCAGGTAAAAACAATGTTTTTCAGTATAAAAAAATTTAAACTTAATAATGTAAATGAATTTTATAATATTGATTATATTTAACAATTTTTGTACATTGTAGTTTAAACACTTTTTTCTAATTCAAGTACATAAAAAGAATATTTTACACCACTGAATAACCAATGAATATAATAACCCAAAACTAGAAATTAATAATAAATGTTCAATACTTTAAATTATGGTTTTAACAAAATGTATTTTTGTATAAATATTTTTTGAAATACCTGATCTTAACAATATTGGACAGTCTTGCGAGTGATAATTCAGGTGCGTTGTAATAATACAATCCTGTAAAGATTATAACATTGATGTAATTTCGATTTTAACTCAACATTTAAAGTTAGCAAAAAAGTATTTTTTTCTTTCAAATATTTTATACCAAATTTATAAGCACGATCAAAAAAATATTTTCATTTGTCATTTTTAGATTATTTTGCAATTTTATTTAAAAATTTCCAAAGAATTTAGTGATATCAATGTTGTTTACATATTTAATTTAGTTATATTTTAATAATGATTTAAATTTAAACATTTTTTATGTACTATGTAAAAAATTTTTTTTTGGTTTCCTGAAAAATGTTTGACTTTTATATTTTTATTATTCATAATATATGTAAAAATAACAATTTAAAAAAATTTATCTCTTACAACCATTTTTTTAAATTGTTTTAAAATATAATAATCCAAGTATAAACAATTTAAAAAACTTTTTAAGATATATAAAGTAATATACAAATATTACTGTGTTCAAAATATACTTACTTCTGGAGCTATTCCAACATTATTAGGTAATTTAAATTGGCTATCTTTATTTTTTGGAACTAGTTGCCAGTTAGGATTTGTTCGAAACTCTGAGTCTTCAATTTTCTAGATACCAAAAATTATATTACTATAGATGGATAAAACTAAAAATAACAATATATAATTTAATGATTTAATTTTATTACTATAAAATGAATAAGATTAAAGATAAAAGGTCATTAATTAAATTGTAAATAAAATATTTTCTCCAAATAATATAACAACCTATAATTAAAAAAAATAAGGGAAATATACAGAAAGTCATTAAAATAAAGTAACTAGGAGAATTAAACTTTACAACCCAAATTTATGGCTTAAATTTTAACTGTATTGTAGAAAATATATTTTGTTCGATTTTATGTAATAAAAACAATAAATTCAGGAGTTGGTTTTATAATTAATCAATGAATTGATAAACAGGGCTTAACTTTTTAAAACAATTTTGTTGGAAATATTCTAAGAGCTCAAAATTCAGATATAACCTGAATTCAGCACTACTGTTTACTAAAATAAATGAAAATTAATTCAAAAATGATTTATTATAAATAAGATTTCTATAAATTATAGTAAATCAGTAGAAATATTGTTAAATAATGCATTCAAATAAAATTGAAGAACTAGTCTTTTATTAACTCCATAAATGTTTTCCTCAAAGACGTATTAAATTTTAACACTTATTTTAATATAATTTAATATATTTACCATGACTAATTCATCTTCATGTTCCAGTAATTCTTCTCCTTTCAATTCCCTAGTGCGCCGAGATTTTCTTGAATAAGCCCTATTGGCCAATATATAGACTATTTGTCTGCCACTAGTCGTCATTTTAAGACAAGACTTCAACATTACCGTAAACCTTATAGTAGGGAGGTGGCACACTATTATAAACTATACTATTAACTATAATTATTTTATGATATAAAAATATTACAATGTAATAGGTTTAAAAAGGCTTGTAAAATATAAAAAGCTAAAATTACTTATACACAAAAGAATATGTACTAAAAAATTAACTAAGTGAATCAAAAATTGGGTAATTTAGATTAACTGCGTTTTAACTTTGAAACTTCTAAATATAGGTTACAATACAACTTAAAAGTTTTAATAAATTTTTACTAACCTTGAGACACTTATGAGTACTAATAGTTACGCTAATACTAATAGTAAACAGTCGTTCTTTTTAAATGATAGTTCCTCGACTATTTATAAAATGTTTTAAAATCATGACTTAGACTGAATTAATTGTTTGACAATAGCCATATAAAATAATAACTTTTAATCACAAAAAATGTCCATATCAAAACAGCTTTTTCTACCAACAATACAAAATATACATCATTCGTTGATAATAAAACATATTATCATAACATATGAATTAAATGGTGTAAAATCTATCACGAGTATAATTATCGCGCCATTTTTTAAATTTTACTAACGAAGATTGTATAGTATACACGGAACGAATCGTTAATTTTAATGAACTAATTTAGTTGATTACTGCTCCTCAATTTGAATTAGTACACTGATTTTGTTCAATTAACGTTAGATAGTATTTTAGCTTCGATGCGAAGCTGAGAAGGTATTGGTTTTACTAAGATGTGTTTTTTTTTTTTTTTTGTGTCTGTTACCACTTTTTCTCAGCTCTCACCGAACCGATTTCTTTCAATGATACGTCAAAAGATCACAAATTGTATCTAGTCGAAGACATTACCCTCAAAAATAGAAAAAAATTCCCTCGTTCCCCGTAAATGGGGGAAACCTCCAAAAAAATTACGAATTTAAAAATCGCTAATTTTCGAAATTTTTTCAATTTTTTTTACTTAAAAGTGCCATAACTTTTTCAAAAATAAATATATCAATATAATTTTTTTTTTTATAGATTCATAATATCATTACCTTTCATTTGGTATATTTTTTTCATAAATTTAACCCTTAACCTGCCCACAAGAAGGGATTAAAAATGACAACTTTTTCAACTTAACTTTTGAAAATGTTCCGGAAGGTCTGACACTTTTATATATATCTTAAATTAAAGCTAATGTAATATACTTTATAATGGTAAAAAAAAATTTCGGACTTTATTTTATCTTCATGGTGAAAACAGACATCAAAGTTTATAAAAAAAATACGATTTTTGTAAAAAAATTCTTTTTTATATTTTTAACTTTATAATGCTATAACTTTTTGAAAGATGTATGGATCAATATAATTCTTTTTTTTTTAGATGCATGATGTCTTTACCTATCATTTGGTATATTTTTTTTATAAATCTGACTTTTTACCTGCCTACAGAAGGGGATTCAAAATGATAACTTTTTCACAAAAAATTGACTTTTTCAACTTAAATTTTGAAAGTGTTCCGGAAAGTCTGACACTTTTCTATATATATTAAATTAAAGCTAATATAATATACTTTATTATGTAAAAAAAAAATTTCGGACTTTATTTTGTCTTCACGGTGAAAATGGCTACCAAATGCTATTATTGTATGAAAAATCTCAATTTTATTTTTTAGATTTTTAACTTTATAATGCTATAACTTATTGAAAAGTGTTATGATCAGTATAATTTTTTTATGGGAAATACTATTTTTTAATAATCCCTTTTTCATTCGACATACTTTATCTTAATCAGGATATTAATAAGGAACTAGCAGTTTATGAAGCTTTTGGAATAATCCACCAATTTTTTAAAATTAAACACTATCTAAAGATTTGCATCGAAGCGTTTTTTTTGATAGTGATTTTAATCACTGTCAGATATCATTATACTTGATCCATCTATGCCACGTCACCACTGTGCCGCGACCCCCCTGTGCTGGGTTTTTTTTAATACTATAGTAGATTAACATTTTATTTTTGAATTACAATTATTACTGTTTTTTATGATTTGCATTCAAATATAGACCATTGGGCTATTTTTATAAAAAGTATATAATTATAGTTCATAAAGTTTTTACTTGATCATTTTAAATAATAAAATAGGAGTTACAAGCACTAGTATATTTAACTTTCTTTTGATAACAAGTAAAAAAAGTATATCGTATTACCCTGATTTGCTGCTTTCAAAAGAAAAAAAGCTAATTGGTCAAAAACAAGAATTTTTATAGTATAAACGTGTTTCAAGATTATTTTAAATATTATTATTAATTGAGTTTATTAGCATTAATGAAAGTACATCGTATACGTGTATATTTAATTTAAGTTATTTAGTGGCGTATATTCAAATTTGATCTGAAGGAGTTTAAATATTAATAATTACTATATCAAAATAAAAAATTTTAAACAGCTTACTCATTGGCAGATAGTTATAATTAAATAACAGTAATAATAGTAAAATTTACTATTGTTCATGAACATTTACAACAAAAAATATTCATAATAACAATTATTATCTATATTTAAAAATCTATAGAGTCTAATTATTAGACACTATAGATCATTGAGAATAATGCATATATACGGCAATTGTTATATTTTTATTGCTGACCAATTATATTATATATCATTGTTGTGTATACATTAAATGTTCTAAAAAGGAAGTATTTATAAATCTTGTTTACTTTAGATTAGCGAAGTTTATACAATGAATATGCATTTTTACGTAAAGAACTAATATGAGTTGCACTGAACATTTAGTAATTAATATTTATTACATATTAATGTTATAATATAATAAGTTATATAATCAATCAAGGAATATTAAAAATAAAATATTAAACTGACTCTGGGGAGGGTTGAAACATGAACTCCCAAACCCCTACCCCGACCGTTCAACGCTGATAGTTCTAGTAAACAAAAAACAATACACCATGAATATACTAGGATATTTTTTTTGCATTCGAAGTAGACTAACAAATAATTTACCTAAATGCTTATAAACTGATTATTTGAATAACAAATTGGGTCAGTTAATTAAGTATTTCCAATTTTTCTAATTAGTCTACAAACTAATTACTTTGATATTTTTAATATATCATGAATTATGACAAAGACACATGACTTATGTAGGTACTTTGAAACCAACGTCATCCGTAATACCATAAATCATTTTTATTTAAAGATTACTTTATTCAAACACTAGTCATTTATACATTATTTGTGTTATCGCTGATCCTCAATCAAACGTATTTAATTGCTATAAAATAGTCAATGTTTTCAAATTGCATTGCCAATCTAACCTGAACTGTCAACCCAAATCAAAAATAAAATAAAAAAACCCAGCACAGTAGGATAATTAGGTCAAGTATAAATGATACATAACAGAGAATATCAGTTATAAAATATTTTTTTATGTTCATCCTTATACAGGGTGTTCAGTAAGTCAGGAAACGGGTCAATTGTTACAAACAATGAGAACAATAGAAACCCGTTTCCTGACTTACTGAACACTCTGTATAGTAGAGACGTCAACTATTATTTTTTTAAAAGGCATCTTACAAATTTAACTAGATTATAATATAGAAAATGATATAATTATAAAAATGACTGGTCATTATTAACTTTTGGACTATTTCTTCGGAAGATATTCTTAATTTTGTAACTAGGCGTATGTAAAATAAGGGGAAAATTTTTGATTGTAATGTGTTCAACTACATACAATTTGTGATCTTTTAACGTATCATTGAGAAAAATCATTCAGCAATAGCTAAGAAAAAGTAGTGTCTGACAAAAAAAAATAAACACATCATGTGTTGTAATATGCTCACTGATTAGCATTACGCATCTTACATTTATCAATGAAAAATTTATAATCTGTATTTTATATTACTTGTAAACAAACAAATAATTTATCTGTCATAACAAATACGATGTTCAACACAATTTCTTATTATTTATATATATGTCAATTTATCAATTGTTAATTGTGTTATCTTAATATAATAATTATGTATTGTATAATTAAATACAGTAAACTAAAAAAGATCACTAAAAGCGCTGACAACAATATCCCTGGATTGGGGGTACTATTATTTTACTATAAAAAGCACTGAAATCCTTTCAGACTTCAGAAAGAGAGGGAGAAAGTGACGAGAGTTCGTTTTCACCGAATTCAAATAAGAAAACAATTGTTAGCCACAACCCCGTGTTGTTGTCGACTATTTTTTTATGCGTCTTTCACATTCGAAAAGAATTTGTTTTAATTTTCTATTTTTGTGACGTAGTACGAATCGAATACTTATGAGTATACATATCGACATATTTATCGAATCATCTCACAGCAATTTGCAAGATAAAAAGGAGTAAGTAAATTTATGTTATTCCGATTATTTAGAATTAATAATCAGAGTAAAGAATGATAAAGCAATAGATCTATAATCTTTTTTAACATCAAGAGTAATTTTGCTGATTTGTTCACACTTTATACATATATACATTACAGGGTTTCGAGGGTCGGATTACCGCCCCGTGCCGGAAAAAAACCTAATGTGTATTTGACTGTATTAATAGACACTTCGACTGCGTATTCGAGGGTCGGATTACCGCCCCATAACCTCAGTGTCCTTTTAAAGGTGTTTATAAATTTATTAGCTCATATTCCTCAATAAAGAGGACATGCATTTATTTCTTTATATCTACTTGTCCCTGTCGTTCTAAACCCTCGAACCATACGACCCCGTTAGAACCACAACATCAGGTTCTCACCTTATACAAAAACCCAAGTCCCTATAATTTTCATTATTTTTATTTTATTAATTTTTGTTATTTGAATTATAACACATGATAAAGTTAATACCTTCTCAGTTTCGTATCGAAGGTGAAACATAATACAATCTTAAGATAAGATAATACATATTTAAAAAACATTATTTTAATTAATACATATTCCTTCAAAAAATTAAATAGTTTATTTTAAACTAAAATGATAAGAATAACCAAATATATGATAAATATTATAGTGATATATGAAATATTTCATAAAATATTAATTTTATATAAAATACATTGTATTACAATGTTTGTTACAAATATACACTGTTAAATATTTAAAAACTTGTTTACTTAATTCTATAATTATAAGTATAAAAAAATTTTGCAGCTAAAATAAAATATGTGAATACTTGAAAGCAATTATAAGTTACATTAAAGTTTGGTTAAAATGATTAAATACAAAAATTCAATGTATTTGTAAGTACTTTAGTAAAAAAGAGATAAAAATTATGATTTGTATATCAATGAACTTTATATCATTAATTAATTATATGGTAAAGTTTAATTTTAAAATAAAAATTTAACTAAGAGTAATAAGAATTCATTAAACTATTATAATTCATGGTACAGCTCATAACTCATTTTCTTAAGACAGATTTAAACACTCAGAGAATAACTAACAATTTTGTTGACTGTATGTTGAGAAGCGATATCTTCATCATTTTGAATAACCCAGTGCCAATCACTTATGTCATCTAAGTCACATTCCGATGTCATATCATCAATACCTGTAGTACATAAATTCAAAATTTGCTCAAGAATTCTGCAAGCTATTTAACATTTATTCTTGATACTTAATACATTTTTTTTTCAATACTTAAATCATTAAAAGAATTTCATATTTTGGTATAATTAAAAAAGTGTTAATGTTCAAACAATTTTTGGCGAATAAATAGTAATAAAAAGTAATTATAGTAGTAAACTAATATAATTATTCTGCTATGCATTAGGATCTTACAATTTATTAATATCTTTCTGACTTTCTTTATATTCTTTTCTACATAGTGTCTTTTAAAATTAGAAATCATTAAAATACTGATTAACTTATCAAAATTTCAAATATTAACTTGTTAATTGAATTTAAAAATTTACAACTTAAACACCATGCATGTACAAAATCTATTATTTAAACCATAAAAGTTGGCGTTGACAATTGAGGCAATGCCATGGTTAAGATACTAAAAAGTAGGTAGAAAAAATTATTTTTCAGTATTTTGTGATAAACATAGTATAATAATATAGTTAAAAAAATTAATTTAATTTAAGTATAGAATAAAATTTATGTTGAAAACAAAAAGACACTTGTCATTATTCCATGCAATTTAGATAAACTGTTTTTTTGCTTTTCAAGTAAAATCTATTTTTTATGATTTGGTACCTTTCTCATATCAACGCCTAAATTATAATTGTAAAAAGTACAAAAAAGATGGATGAGTGGAATGACTAGAGAAGATAAGATAAAGAACGAGCATATAAGAGGGAGTATAGGTGTAGAGTCAATTGTGAATAAGATAAGAGAGAATAGACTTAGATGGTTTGGTCTTGTTATGAGGAGAGAAGAATCAGAAGCTGTAAGAACAGTTATAGAAATGAATGTTGAAGGAAGAAGAGGTAGAGGAAGAACAAAAAAGAGATGGAGGGATGCTATTGAAAGCGATATGAGGATGGCTTATGTGATCGTAGATGATGTGGGAGATTGTGTCAAATAGAAGTTTAGGATAAGGGTGGCCGACCCCAAGTAGTTGGGATTAAGGCAAGGAAGAAGAAGAAGACAAAAAAAAATAAAAAGTTGTATTTGTTTAAAGTTTAGCAAATAATAAAATTAATATTGACATTAAGATTAGAACAATTTTTATATAATAAAAATAAAACAATTTAAGCTAGATACCTTGTGTGTATTTCCATCCTCTGTCTTTTCTTGTGCACTCTGTGGCAATAATTCGAATAGTCTTCACATTTTTAAAATTTGATCTAAACCAAGCTATATCAGTTTTTCTTCTAGCATCACTAATTATCCAAATATCCTTTAAATGCACTAGATTATATTTTTAGTTATTAGATTTATCAAGTCTGATTATTTAAGATATTAAAGTATTACTAACTAGGATCATACATCTCAACTGATTTTTGACAAAAATAACCAGGGTCATTGAAGCGTATACTATCGCTCCAATCTATCATTTCTTTTCTATACTGCTCTTTCAACTGACCATCACTAAGGAGTTCATCAAATAGTATTGATTTAGTTTCAGCCCAATATTTTTTTATAGGACCTGATAAACGGATAATAGTACATTTATCCTTTCCAATTCTAGAATAAGACATTATTATATAGTAATAAATGTTGAAAAGTACATACATATTTTACATAATTTAAAAAGTTTCAACTAAATAAAACTGTCAAAGCTATGAAAAATTTATTTTTTATTTATTTAACAAATGTATCACTAACAATAAGTTAAAATATATATTAAGAACTATCTACATTCAGTGACTTAAAAATTTGTAAAACAATAGATTCTACTTCAGCCATTGCTCCAATACCATGATCACCACACATCAAGGTTTTTACAATTGGAGGTATTAAACAATAGCCCCAAGAAATTAAAGTGTTAATTTGACGTTCAGTAATTGGATGATTCCACATGTTAGTGTTCATAGCTGGACAAAATAAAACTGGTTTTGATACACTCCAAGCTCTTACTATACAAGTAAGTAGATTATCACAAATACCATTGCTAATTTTTGCCAAAGTATTAGCGCTTAATGGTGCAAGAACTAATAAATCTGCACTTTTTGAAAGATCAATATGCAACACAGGATCTCCTCTATATTTCCATGCACTCCATTCGTGTTCATTAGTGACTACATTAATTTTGAAATCATTTTTTATCTTCTCTAAATCTACAAAATGCTTGGATGCTTCTGTAGCAACTAAGGTAACATCAATATTTTTATTGATAAGTTGTGACACAATATCTGGAATTTTTATTGCAGCTACACTAGCACTGCAAGCAATTATTACATGAGGCATTATTATTGTGATTTATTTTTAACATCTGCTAATCCCAGTTTAGACCATTCTTCCTTGGCCATCAAATCATGTTGCATACGACAATCCAAGTATTCTTTGGCTTGATGTCTACACTTAGAATTATCCCCGTTATTGACACTTAAACAGAACATATACTTGTAAGCTGTTTTTTTGCATTGACCTTCGTGATCTAATGGAAAACTTCCTTTTTGTGGTGGTGTAGGTTGAAATGATTTTTGACCAAATGTTGAAGAAGACATTGATAAACAGTGAAGGAAGAACTATGAATATTGTTTTCTATTTAGAATAAACTAAAAACTCGATCATTCTACGAAAAATAAAATGTTTTTTTTAATTCAATAAGGTCTTCTAGTTATCTTAAAAAAGTCATGAAATAGCAATTTCTGAAATTTATTCACTCTAAATAAGTTAATCTGATAACTTCGTTATCATTAGTTTTACTATCTATTTATTTTTTATGATGTGTACACTATGTTGACTAAAATGTTAATTTTATTTATCTTGGAAAAAATTATATTTAAGAGTACATTTTAAGAATAACTTTCGAAAGTAAATGTTTATTACTTTATAAGATATCGGCTATTCAACATATAGATAAGGCGTGGAACAGGATGGTGTTTTGCGACGCTCTATTTTGAACTAGAATGAACAGATAAAAATTCTATGTCACACATCCCAACTAAATATTATTTTAACTAAAGAAGTAATTACAAAACTGATTAATAACAAGTCAAACTTTATTTAATTCAATCCTTGTTTAATAGTAAAAAAGTAATTATGGGTTCCTATTTAACTTTCAAAAATATCACCAATGTATATAGATCTTTTATGTTTATTTTTAAAATCTTTTTTAAATTTTAATACCTCATTTGTTTAACTATGGCGTCATAGATCCGCTAAATAGTTATTGCTAAAATCCATTTGAAAAATATCCCTAAATCTATCCTCAAAAATAATTTTTACTTACAATAAATTTTATATTTTAATTTGTACATTAAAAAAAGAAATTATTAGTTAAAAAAATGGGTAGGGTAGTATTATTAATAAATCCTTAACTATATTTTGTATTAAGGGTTGTCTCGGGCCAGCATAAATATAGAATTTAAAATTTATGATAAGTTTACATTAGCTTTTCTCTATAGCTATGTGTCTTGAAATCACTAATAGAAAATTTTAACAATATATAGTCATAATTGTTATAAAATATTATCAAAGAAAATTCTAATAATTACCACCAGTTTAATCAAGCAAAAAGGTGATGTTTTTAAGCTAATTGGTATAAGTAATTTTTTTAATTATAATTATCATTGAATCTTTAAATATACTTTTATAATTTTAAATTTTTTAAAATTAAGTAAATAGTTGTTTTTAAAAAATAAATTGATAAACTAAAAAAATTAACTTATTTTTATGTATTTAAACTTAGGGTATACTGTAAAATTTTGAGTAAAAAGCAGTAGTAATAAACGAGGGATAAAAAAAAATTTGATGGCGATTCATAAACATGAAAATACAATATTGGCTTTTTATAAAAATTATTTTCACCTGATAAACACTATTGGTATAATTAGATGCTGCTTGAGATATTTTTAAAGTAAAACCATTGATTTTATGAAGAACAATTATATTTATTTATAAGTAGTAAATATCTGATCTAGTAAATCAACATATATAACTTTTGGGTCCCAAGTAAAATTTTTAAAATCATTGAAACAAAAAAATGATATCTCAAAAGATGTTATTTTTTTTACAAGAGTTAATAATATTAGTGTTTAATAATAAATATAACAATTAAGTAAAATGTTTGTTTTATTAACATTTTTTATTTAACAATATCTTTAAAATCATTCAAACTACATTATTATATTTTACACAATAATTTTAACATAATTTTAGTGTCTTATTAAAATGAACACATTCCCATAGATTGTATATCCTTCCTATTCCCAACATCTTGAACTATCCTAATGGAATTAATGCGTAGAGTTGTTATTTCTTTGCGAATAAAGTTAATTCTCATATACTGCTTACGTTTTAAACGTTTAAAATTGGTTCGTGTATGTGATAGATCTTTATCGACAACTGTTGCATTAACATGAACAGTATCAGGATCTAATATAGGTGTTCCAATCAGGGTAAAATCAATACCCCCAGCAAGCAAAACCTTTTGAAATTTCACTCGATCGCCAACATTTGGTGGCCAATAACCATCAATTAAAACCAAATCATTATCAGTTACTTTAAATTGTTTACCACATATATGTACCACGGCAAACAAACGATTGGAATTCTTAATAGCTTCATTTACATTTTTTAAAACTTCATTGGTAAATTTATTATCTTCTTCTTTATTTTCAACTATATACTCTTGATTTAGTAACGTACCATAAGTGCGAAGAGAAGGATTTGAAATAATTGTTCGACTACTTGGTACATTTTGAAAAGTTTTACTCACTAATTTACAAACATTATTCAAAAACATATTTAATAGAAATTTGTATACAATTATCAAATGATAATACTATAACTAAAAAATAAGATAACTTATTTAAATAAGTTAATCGACAACATTGTTAGCTTTAACTATGATTTATATAATTTTTTCACTATAGATAATAAATAGTATTATTAACATAACCTAAAAATTGATGGTATCAATAGAAGAATATTAGCTACAATCATAGATAATAAAGAGTCTTTATTATCTACAGCTACAACCAGAATCTCATAAATAATATGTAAATGCAATAAATGATAATAATTTTTATTAAAATAAAAAAATGATTTTTAAATAATTAATATATAAATATTTAGTTAAACGAGTTTCAAGTTATTTTTAAAGCTTTATATTATAATATATGTACCATCAAAATAGTATGAAAGAATTTATTAAGGACGTATTAAGTTAGACAATTTTGACGACAACAAACATTTAATTTTATTAAGTAATATACTTTTCATAAACTACATTGAAAAACTTCTATTTACCTTTGGTGTATGATATCTGTTAAGTAATCTTTTCCGGATTTCCTCTTCCCACTGAATAAAAGTATTAACTTCGGGCGTTCGGCCACTTGCTTTGTTGTTGCCATACTCACTAAATGATAACAAATATTTAATTGTATATTATCAGGGCCGTCCTAAGGCCGTGGCAATCGGGGCTCACGCCTCGTTTGACCCTTACGCAATTAAAAAATCATAAGTTTTTTTTTAATACAACGATTTGCATATATTACAAAAATAGTTTGAATTTTTTTTTTTTGAAAAATATATTGTAAATTAAATCAAGAACGAAATACTTGTACAGTATAAACTATGAGAATGAAAGTGAAAAGTATTCTATATAGTGTAATAAAAAATTATGTATGGGATAGGTACTGCTTTTGGTAAAATAGTAATTGATAAAAATACTTTACGTATGTAAACATTTTGAAATGGGAGAGGTTATCGACTTACGGAAGTGTAATTACCTTTGTGTGAAAAGCATCGCAATATTTTTTAGGCTCCGATAAAATAATTATGCTCCGTACCCGCAAATTTTAAGAAAGATCCTGCATATTATATAATCAATAATAATATTTTCCCATGTAACGTTTTTTCTTACACCAATTTCATTTATTGTAACTGTAAATAATAAAAACACAGCACAGGGGAGTCGCGGCACAGTGGTGACGTGGCATAGTTGGATCAAGTATAATGATATCTGACAGTTATTAAAATCACTATCATAAAAAACGCTTCGATGCAAATCTTTAGATAGTGTTTAATTTTAAAAAATTGGTGGATTATTCAAAAAGCTACATGATCTGCTATTTCCTTGTTTATATCCTGATTAAGATAAAGTATGTCGAATGAAAATGGGTTATAAATATTATTTCTCATAAAAAAATTGTGCTGATCCATACACTTTTCAATAAGTAATAGCATTATAAAGTTAAAAATTAAAAAAATAAAATCATGAATTTTCACACAAAAATAGCATTCGGTAGCCATTTTCACCGTGAAGACAAAATAAAGTCCGAAAATATTTTTTGCCATAATAAAATACATTACATTACCTTTAATTTAAGATATATATAAAAGTGTCAGTCTTCTCGAAACAATTTCAAAAGTTTAGTTTAAAAAGTTCTACTTTCTATATGCATTTTTCAGATTTAACAAAACCCCGTATATAGGGAAATGGCCCGATTTGAAAAAAAAGTATATCGAATGAAAGATGTATATAAATACTACTTCTTATGAAAAAATTATATTGATCCATACATTCTTTAAAAAGTTATAGCATTTTAAAGTAAAAAATGTAAAATATATAATCGAGAATTTTCACATAAAAATAGCATTCGGTAGCCATTTTCACCGTGAAGATAAAATAAAATCTGAAATTTTTTTTCCATAATAAGAAATTTCTTCTCGCATGAGGCGACTAAAGTAATGGGATCCTTGATCTTTATTGAAGTTATTGAATCTAAATGAGATAAAAATCAAACAAGTTGAAAATTTATTCTAATTTAAAAAGAATTAAGACAAAATGCAAAAAATTCAATGTCATAGGCGGATTGGAACTCTGTATCCCAAGCGCGCAAGACATCAGTTCTACCGACTCGGCAACCGTACGTCGCTAACGTTGTCAGAAAAAATTGGATATTTAAGCTAATTCAAATTTCAAAATTATTTTGACGATTTAAAAAAAGCAAAATACTTTAAATAAGTTTAACTTTCTACGCTATATCAATTTGATTTATATAATATTTATGAAAATCAGTGTACTCCCCTTGTCAGGTATTTTAAATTAAAATAAAATACAAAACCCAGAATTTTAACACAAAAATATCATATTTTTGAATACGGTAGTCATTTTCACCATGAAGACAAATCCAGAGTTCAAATTTTTTTTTTTTAAATTAAAATATATTACATTAGCTTTAATTTAAGATATATATGAAAGTGTCAGTATTTCTGGAAGACTTTCAAAAATTTAATTGAAAATGTCCTAGTTTCAATAAGCATGTTTAAAGTTTTGACCCCTTTTGTATAAAGGGGTATGATCCGATTTACAAAAAAAATGTGTCAGATGAAAGGGGTATATAAAAATTATTTATAAAAAATAATAATATTGATCCATACATTTCTCCAAAAGTTATAGCAATATAAATTTAATAATTACATGTATTAAGATATAACATACCGCTATTTAAAGTAGATTATTTTGTATTAACAGAAACTTGGTTATCTACTGATATAACAAATAACGAGCTTGGGTTTGATAATTTCAATGTATATCGAGTAGACCGGAGCGAAAAAACAAGTATTTGCAAGAGAGGAGGTGGGGTATTGATAGCTATACATAAACGTTTCGTTGTGGATATTATTAATATTCCTAATGATAATATTGAACAAGTATTCTTGATGATTAAAGGTGGAAATAATTATAAACTTATTTTAGGTGCTTGCTATATTCCACCAACTAATCAGGATATTAAATACTTAGCTCTTACCGAAACGGTTGAATATTTAATAAGTATTCGCCAATTAAAAATTTTATTCTTATAGGTGATTTTAATTTATCCGGTATTCGGTTTACAAATAACAATATTAGTCTGAATTATAATACAGATAAATCTCACGTGACAGGTAATATTATTTACGAAAGCTTTGTGTCACTTAATTTGTTTCAAATGAATGTATAGTATAGTAAATGAATATGGTTCTCAACTTGATCTGGTTTTCTCTAATGATAACACAATTAATACTCTCCCCTTAGACGACAGCATAGTACCGGTAGATAGATATCACCAACCATTTATAATAAAAAGTAATATAAAAAATACTAAATCACTTGATGAAACCAAGTCATGGTTTTATAACTACAAAAACGTCGATTATACAATAATGAACAATATGATTGCAAATATAAATTGGTCTGATTTATACTCAATAAAAGACATAAATTTAGCAGTTGAAAAATTTTATAAAGATTTACTTAATATAATAGATAGTTTAACCAAAAAAGTTTACACCAACCAAATAAAATTTCCATTATGGTTTTCAAAAGAGCTACGTATTTTAATTATTAAAAAGAAAAAAATACATAAATTGTTTAAGGCTACAGGAGATAAAAAGTTTTATGCCGAATTTTCACTTATCAGGAACCGCTGTAAAGAACTTTCTAAAAAATGTTATTCTGATTATTTAAAACGTATTCAAGCTTCATTAACTAATAACCCGAAATATTTTTGGAAGTTTATCAATGATAAGAAAAAAAGCAAAGATCTCCCTACTACGATCTCTTTTAATGATGTCATTGCAGATAACCCCGATAATATTGCAAATATCTTTAAGGACTACTTCGGCTCAATATACACTCCTACTCAAGCATCTTCTTCATATACTTTACATAACTTATCTCCTAATAATGAAATTATCGATTTCTCCTCTTGTTTATTTTCTATCTCCGACATTTTCAACGCCTTAAATAACTTATCATTTAAAACAAAAATAGGTCCAGATAAAATACCCGAAATAATTTACCGTAATTGTTCTTATACCTTAACCCGTCCAATTCATTTTTTATTCAACTTATCATTATCTACAGGTGTTTTTCCAAATCTTTGGAAAACTAGTTTTATTTATCCGATTTTCAAGTCCGGAAACCGATCTCTCGTAAATAACTACCGTCCTATATCCTGTTTAAGCGTATTACCAAAATTATTGGAAAAACTTATAGAACCAAAAATGTCTAATATTTTTAAAACTATCTTATCAGATAATCAACATGGCTTCCGTAAGACAAAGTCAACTCTAACCAACTTGATGACTTTTTATACTGACTTACTGCATTCCGTTAGTAATGGTGTTCAAGTTGATGCAATCTATACAGATATTAAAAAGGCGTTTGATACAATTAACATTAATATATTAATAGATAAACTTATTATTATTGGTGTTAGGGATCCAATCCTTTCATGGTTTAAATCTTACTTATCTGATCGAATCCAAAAAGTAAAAATAGGTAATTCGATTTCTCCAAACATAAATGTAATCTCTGGAGTGCCGCAAGGTGGTCATCTCTCACCTTTATTATTTATAATTTTTATCAACGATATAAACACTGGTATTTCGACATTGTAAATTCACTTTATTCGCAGATGATTTAAAGCTTTATATGTCAATTTCCTCAATAGATGATTGTAATAAATTACAATATGACCTAAATCAATTCTGTTTATGGTGTGCAAATAATGGTTTAAACTTAAACACGGATAAATGTAGTCAAATTACATTCTCTAGAAATAAGCAAAATTTTTTATTTAATTATCACATAGATAATGAAAACCTCAATATTGTATCTAATTTAAAAGACTTGGGTATAATTTTTTCTAATGACTTTACATTTACCAAACATATAAATGAAATCCATAATAAAGCCTTACGTGTATTTGGATTTTTAAAACGGAATTGCTGGGAGTTTCATGACCTAATTTGCCTACGTGTTTTATACTTCTCTCTAGTACGATCAATTTTAGAATATGGCTCGATAATCTGGAACCCTCATCAAGAGTATCTTATTAATAAATTAGAACGAATCCAAAATCGATTTTTACGTATGCTGGCATATAAACAAATAATGTTGAATTAACATTACAATCATTATCTTTAAAATATGAAATAGATAGTTTGGAATTCAGGAGACAATTTAAGGACATACATTGGCTCTATAATTTACTAAACTTCAAAATTGATTGTCCAGATATACTTGCTTTAATTAATATAAATGTTCCAAATATCACGTTAAGATCCACATCTACATTCTACACTCCTACTTGCAAACGTAATTATTGTCTATTTGCACCGGTAAACCGAATGTTAACTCTAGGTAATAAACTTAATAATTTTGATTTTTTTTTACCGAGTTCACTTTCAGATTTAAAAAATTGCATGAAAAATAGTTATAATCTTTAGTTATAGTTTCATTATTATCTTAAATACTTATTGTTGTTTTTTTTCTTTTTTTTTATTATTCATCTTTATTATGTATGCAAAATTACTTTATTCATATATTTTAACTGATTATCTCTGTACTCTATGCCCACGGGGCGTTTATTAAATAAATATTATAAATAAATATTATTATTTATGTTTTGAATTAATGAAAATAAACACTGCCATATTTAATAATGAGTATTTCAATAATTTTTCTTAAATCTAGAAACATTGATTATTTTGAGAATAGAAATCTTATTTTTTATTGAAGATCTTTAATTTAAATTAACTTATATTTGAACAATGTTGTTAACTATTGGTCAAATGTAAATAACTCATTCATAGATTAGCCTATATTAGGCTAACAGATTATTATTTTATTGGTACTTGAAGAAAATCTTTAAGGGGCTCAGTTGCCTAGTAGGTAGAAACGTATGTTTCGAGTTTAATCCTCAGGGTGCCAACGATTCTCCTTGTGATTTTGTCGTTAGTAGTGTTTGGTTTCTGTTGCAAGTCAAGTTTATAATACCCGTTCCGTCCATCGTTAGTCTAGCCAAGAAACATATTTAACTCCCTAACATGTAAAAGAGGACCACCATCTTTTATAGCATGTTAAGCTCGGGATATAGATGGGATGTAAAAATCAAATCAGAATCAAAACTTTAAGAAAATGTTAAATACTTTGTCTCTTTGTCATAAATTCGAGAAAAAACTGTATTCGAAGAAAGTTCTATGAGGGGTTTTGGGGGTGTGATTAAATTTCTGATTTAGCAATTTGGCGACAAGTTAACAAATTTACCTTTTTTTTAGCTTCGATGCGAAGCTGAGAAGGTATTGGTTTTACTAAGATGTGTTTTTTTTTTTTTTTTTTTTGTTACCACTTTTTCTCAGCTCTCACCGAACCGATTTCTTTCAATGATACGTCAAAAGATCACAAATCGTATCTAGTCGAAGACATTACCCTCAAAAATTGAAAAAAATTCCCTCGTTCCCCGTAAAAGGGGGAAACCTCCAAAAAAATTACAAATTTAAAAATCGCTAATTTTCGAAATTTTTTCAATTTTTTTTACTNCAAATTTAAAAATCGCTAATTTTTGAATTAAAGAATAAGCAAAGACTTTACTTTAAACAGTAAGCCGGACAGCGACAACCGATTACTGAGACAGATGAATGACACTGGAGTCGACTGACCACGATGGTCAGGTCTATTGGGTTTTTATAATAATTAGAACTATTGCCGATTTGGCAATAAATATTATTTGTTAATTCTTCAGTCTCAGGCAGTGGATGTGCTGTCTGTATTTTATTAAAATAATTCTCACGATTATGAAAACGTGACATCATCACAATAATCAAATTTTATAATACGCTCAATTGAGTAAATCTTTTTAACAACTTTGTTTTGATTGGTTCATNTCAATTGAGTAAATCTTTTTAACAACTTTGTTTTGATTGATTCTTTTAGTTAAAGTAAATCATTAATATTAATTAACTTCTGAATATTTCAATTGTAGAATCTTTTTATACACCAAAAGTTACAAGGATATTATTACTATTACTTCTATTTAAGTTAACTATTACGATAAAAATGCAAAGAAATAATAAGTTTTTCTGAAAAATTTACGATAAATAGTAATTATAATATATCCTGACTGCATATCAATCTTAAATATAGCATTGATTTAATTCTCATAAAATTTTCTATTTAATATTGTCAATTTCAAACTTGTAATTTAGCTAAAAGTTATGGTAACATGTTCAATTTTTTTTACTATAAACTTCCACAAAAACTTTTCATCAACTTCAAAGGACCAACAAAATAGGTTAATAATGAAAATTTGGACTGATTATTTTTAACATATTAAAAATCAAATCAGTAATAATTTGAAAACAAATTTCTTTTTCTTTTAATTAATATTTTATATGTAATTAATAATAATACAAAAAATTAGAAGTGATAGAAAAAGTCTAATTGCAGATTTGAAAATAACACGAAAATCGATTTAGAAAAGTATTTTTTTGCTTCTGATGAAAGTTCTTTGTAGTCCTGTGCATTTATTTATAGTAACAGTTTTTATTGAAAAATATTGTATCAAGCCTTTTACATTTTTATACACGTAAAAGTAAAGCAAAATATAACTTTTTTATTATTTTTATAATTTCTCCGTATAAATTACAATATTAAATTATTTAATATCAATTTCTTATTAAATTTAATAACTATAATTAGTATTTATTCATATATATTATTTTAAAATCAAAGAATTACTAATAAGGATATAATTAAAGAAATAAGTATAGACACTTGTCCCATCACAATGTGCGTCGACCCCTCTGTGCTAAATTTTTTTTTAATATTCTTTTTTGGAATTATATTTTTGTTTTATCGACAAAGCATTAATTTTAATAAAAATATAATATGGCGCTAAGTAATGTGATCAATTTTTTTCGCTTCGTACTTTTAAATACAAAAAAACCCAGCACAGAGGGGTCGTGGCACAGTGGTGACGTGGCATAGATGGATCAAGTATAATGATATCTGACAGTGATTAAAATCACTATCA